TTTCAGTATTAGATTTTCACTTATTTGTATGTTATGTATTGTATTGCTTTTGATCAATTGTTGTTGTTACTATTGTGAAGTTTAATAGATTTTAAAAATGTAAATAATATAAAGTGATTGGTTTTAAATGCTACACATGAATACTGTTAAATGTTACCAATACTGTTTGAATGAATGATTGTAACAAATGAAATATAATGTTATGTAATGAAGCTCATGTATACATGTAAACACGCACAATTCAGCATTTTGGCTGCGAGGCATTGTTTTTTAATAAAACTATTATTGAATTGAATTTTTGAAATTCAGACAAGTATATAATAATAATAATTTCATGAAACCTTAAAGCTTCCGCACTTCGCGCGGGAGGGAGGGGGGAGGCAACCGAATTTAGACAAGAATTAACAGTCGAGAACGGCACAATGATCGTCTTCTTTCTCTATTTATTTAATTAAATGTCAAAGCTTCAGGGGAGGGGGGCAAATTTGAAATTATGCGAGCCAAATATTGGTACGTAATGGTGACCAGCAGTGACGTAATGGGGGGGGTGCAGGGAGGGGCGAGTTTTTTCCTCCCTCCTCCTCAAGCTTTGACGTTACAGAAAGAAGACTATTCATTGTACCGTTCTTGACTCTTAATCCCTGTCTGTACTCAGTCCCCCCCCCCCCCTCATGCGCGAAGCGCGGAAACTATGATATTTCATTAAATTATTAGAGAAATGAGACGATTCGTTGTACCGTTCTCGTCTCTAAATCCTTGTCTTAATTCAGTTCCCCATCCACGCCCCTACCGCGCGAAGCGCGAAAGCTTTTACATTTCATTAAATTATTAGAGAAAAAAGACGATCATTGTACCGTTCTCGACTCTTAATTCTCGTCTGAATTTAGTTCCCCCCTCACTCGTGAAGCGCGAAAGCTTTTACATTTCATTAAATTATTATAGAAAGAATACGATCATTGTACCGTTCTCGACTGTTAATTCTTGTCTGGATTCAGTCCCCCCCCCCCCCTCCCGCGCGAAGCGTTGAAGCTTTTACTTTTCATTGAATCATGAGAATAAGAAGAGACGATTCGTTGTACCGTTCTCGACTCTTAATTCTTGTCGGAACTCAGTTCCCCCTCCTGCTCGGTTGTACCGTTCTCGACACTTAATCCTTGATTAAATTCAATCTCACCCCCCCCCCCCCCACTCGCGCGAAAGCTTTGACGTTTCAGAGAATTATTAGAGAAAGAAGACAATTCGAGGTACCGTTCTAGACTCTTAATCCTAGTCTGAATTCAGTCGCCCCCCCCCCCCCTCCCGCGCGAAGTGCGGAAGCTTTGAGGTATCATTAAAGTATTATAGAGAAAGAAGACGTTTCGAAATACTTGTCTGAATTTCAAAAAAAAAAAAAAATCCTCTCTTTTTTGTTTTTTGGCCGGCGTTGTGGGGGAACCGCCCCCACCGAGGGGTTTTAGGCATTTGATTACGGTCAGATAAACATACTTTTATACTTTATTTATTTTGTGACAATGGCAGGACAGTAATTGCCGTGAGGTCCAGCGGGCGGAGCCCCCAGAAGCTCAGGGGTTTTAGGCATTAAATTACCATCAGATTACCATCCAAGGGGTCCGCCTTAGGGCCCTAGGCGGGGTCCAGTGGGCAGACCCCGGAAGCTGAGGGATTTTAGGCATTTAATCACGATCAGATGAACATATTTTGATACCTTATTATTTTGTGACACTGGCAGTTAACTACTCTTTCTTTTTTGCTCTCTTTCTTCCTATTTCTCTTTAATATACTTTTTCAAAATAAGTTGTGGGGGGGGGGGGCTCGAGGCTTCAGATCCCCGCCGTTTTGCGGGCCCTGACATGTAGGCAACTCAAAAAACCTATTTCTTGTCTGACTGCAAATTTTCCCCAAAATGCATGAAACAGTATAATTTACTAAGTAAGTTAAAAAAAAAATTCGGAAATTATGTAATTTCAGCATTATTTGTAAATCACCGTTATGGAATTTAACATAAACCATGTTTGAATGTTATTTCCCCCAATTCCCCCCCTCCCCTATCAGTACGCCAGTGCCCCCCCCCCCCCCCGATCTACACTTTGTTTGCGGGAAAAATTGAAAATGATCTCCCCTACCTTTCCCTTTTCCTCCTCTTCCCCTTCTCTTCCTTCTCTCTTTTAGGTTTGCTGGGGGTAAGGGGAGGCAAGGGCCTTTCGGCCCCCACCCCGATCCACATGTTGTAGGCGGGATTAACCGCAACTGATCTCCCATTCTTTTTACCCTTTTCTTTTCTTCTTTCTCTTTTTTTTTGGTTCCTTTTTCGCTTCCTTTTCGCTTCCTTCTCTCTCTTTTTTTAGCGGGGGCGGGGGGGGGGGGCAGGGGAGGCAAGGGCCATTTGCTCCCGTCCGATCCCGATCTTGTTGGCGGGAAAATTGCAACTGATACCCCCTTCTTTTCTTTTCTTCTTCCTCCATTTTCCTTCCCTTTATCTGCTCTTTTCCTTTTTTCTTTGCCTTTCCTTCCTTCTTTCTCATTTTTTTATGGGGGGAGGCAACAGCCTGCGACGCAAGGGCCTTTCGCCCCCGGTCTCCTTCTTCCCCTTTTCTTTTCTTCTTTCTTTTCCTTTCTTTCCTTTTCTCTCCTTTTTCCCTTTCCCTTCTTTCTCCCTCTTTTTTGCGGGGGGGGGGGGCAAGGCCCGCTCGACCCCCTTGGGTCCGCGCCTGAGAGACAGAGAGAGGGGGGGTGGAGTTTTTATAGGATCAGCACACTGAGTGTCACAGACCAATGCAAGGAACCATCTCTGTTGAATTCACCATAATACCTTCATTGTTACTACTATTATTGTTTGCTAGTGTAATGTTTATTAAAAAGTAATAAATATGTTGAATTTTATATCAAACTTTTTTATTACATTTTGTGTTTTTAATTAGCATCAATAACGAATTTATTAGCATCAATAACGAAGTTATTTGTCCTATGGCGGACTAATTCAGAATGAATCAGGAGAGCTTGGGGTATTTGTTTCTAGTTTATCGTGACTGTGCCATGGACCAGTGATGGCCTGGTGGTAGAGTCGCTGCCCGGCAAGCAGTAGATACAGGTTCAAGTCCCGCTGGTTCCAAGGTTTTTTCTGACTTGTTTTTCAATACAGATCGATCAATCGATCTTATTTACTGGGTGTAAGCCACATGTTTAAATGATTGAAATTTCTCCCAGGAAACATTACGTTTATAAAACAACGAAGGTTTAGAAAAGTTGAACCGGGTGAAAGTTGTGTGAGTGAATGTTGATTGGGTATGTCTTGTAATTGCTGTCTTAATTGGATAATCACTGATTATGAAGGTGACACATTAATTTGAACTAAAGAAGGGCATATTATGTGAAAAAATGACTTTCCTTAAATCTAAATTTTTGTGGATGTGATAACAACCATTATAGATGGCATATATGCCGGTGAATACATTTTTCCAGACTGGTATAGACAATTAAAGATTATTTCAATTTGTTTTGGCAAAATGTTAAAATAAAACACATGAAAAAGCATGTGCTCCCCTACATTTTTTCAGCAAGACTTAACAAATACATAAACATGTGTCTGAATAAGTAAAATGGCAATTAATTTTTATTTGTAATTTAAAGGGACTTGGTAACATTGTTCAGATGAGAGATAGTGATGCTAAGGTAGTGACTTCAATGCTAGATGTACAATTAAAGATAATCTGAAAATTTGAGTGAAAACGGATCATTATTCATGGTACAAATTGGGAAAAACTGATCTGATCGATTCCTTAATTTTCCCAACTATATTATTCTACTTCTATTCTGCTACTTGTCAAAGCCTGTTCAGCATCAAGACAAGGACAATTTAATTACATTTTAGGTGAATGTAAATCGTCACAAAGCAATAAAATGGCTCTACATTCCATTCCAGACAGTTAAGTGTTGACAGATTTTTCTCATGGAAAAACGGTTTGGAAAATTCAAAAAGGTTGGGAGAATTTACTGTTAATCACTGTTAGAGGGTGCCTCCCATCGACGCCTTCAAAGAAAACCATAGATATCTTTGTGGTTTGAGAATTTGTTCAGGATTTTTTGCATGTCAGAGGGTTAGTATAGTAGAAGTAATATAGTAAGTAACATTTTATACAAAAATTAAGCAATTTTGTTCATCAACCTTTAACAATGTTACCGAGTCACTTTAACGACAGTTATGCGAGACTAGTTAACATTTAAAAACTGAATTCCATACAAAAAAAAAGAAATGAATATTATGTTTTATTTCAATAAATAAACGACTGACATGCAAGACTAGCTAAACACCTATGTTTGACATTTTTTAAATATCTAAGTTAATTATTTCATTGTGTTACTTTTTATTTACTGATTTAATTCTTATAAATGCCTGATCTGCAAAACTACGTAAAAAATAGTTTCTATTCCTTAAAATTGTTAAACGACTGATGTGAAAGAAAGTCGACGCACCCTTTCGAGAAAAGACCCCCCTCTTTTCTTGAAAGGTTGTGCTAAGACGGTCCTCCGCTCTCAACTCACCCTTTCGAGAAAAGCGGGGGGCCTTTTATCGAATGGGTACGTTGAACTCACCACACCGCGCCGCACCGCACCCTTTCGATGTAAGCCCATTTGAACATGTATATAGAAAATGCGCTATATAGATACATTATTATTATTATTATTATTATCATTATTATTCACGGTCAAAGGGGCCAGTTGATCAAATAAAATGATGGGAAACAGAAGGCTTCAGAAGGTTACAATTGGCTAGTCGCACATACATTCCTTGGTTTAACCTTTAGCCGATTTCAAAATGTTTCGAAGAATCAACTCCTCAGCAATTTTAATGGCATGAAGAAAATTATTGGATTACGTAATACGCCATTGTAATGCAAGCACATTTCAGTAGGTGGTGGACAAGGCTTTTGAAATTGCCGTGTATTGTTTTTTGTGTTGTTGTTGTTGTTGTTGAAAGTCTTGTTTCTCCTGCACAGGTGTACTCACCTCCTGAAACCACAGCTGTAATAAATGAGTGGAACTTTGAGATTCGGGTGTAGACGCCGGGCAAGCGTGTTTTTTGCGCATCCTCCTCCAAAGCTTGTTGGTCCGACCAGATGCCATCGACCATCATCACCCTCACAGGTTAAAGGCCCACCGCTGACTCCCTGATTTTTGTAATAATAAACACGAGATAATAAAATTTAATTGGATGACTTGCAAACTAAACAAATATCCTACATAGGACCACACACATGTGTAGCTTTCGAAAAAGTACATGTATTCGGAACCTGGCAGTTTGATATATATTAAAGGGGTAAGCAAGTCAGTGTGTCCAAATTCTGAAACAAAGACAAAAAGGATATAAAATTGAAAATTACTGAGTGAAAAAAATACCATTTCAGTCAGTGTCACAGTTATGAGGGAAACGGGAGTACAGCCCAAATAATCGGTCTGATGAAAATAAAATAGGATGGGAGAGCAGAAAAACAACTTGGGTAAAAGGTAATGACTCAACCCTATGCCCTTATCTCCTTCCATGCTATCGTAGTAGAGAGGTTTGAGCGCTATACTGGAAATTCGAAGGTCATGGGTTTGACTCCCGGGACGGCACTGATGTCCATTGACAAGGCCTTAATCTACATTTGCCACTCCATTGAATGTGGACACTGTAGGAGCACGAAGCCTGTGTGATAGTTATTGCTTTATGCCCTCTCGGCGACGATGAGTGGAGATGCTGCACATTTTGCGTATGAATGAATCAGGTGTCCGGGATAATAATATCTTTAAAACGCTTAGACCCCCCCCCCCCCCTTCAGTTTTTTTATGTGTGTATTTTGAAGCCAAACCCCCCTCTGTGTTTCCTTTTTTTCATTTTGTCTTTTTTTAATTAAAAAATAAAAATAAAAAATAAAATAAAAATTATGCCAATGGCTGACCAAAGAGAGATGACCTTAACCCCACAAAAGTGTCCTCTTACCCCCCCCCCCCCCGCTTATTCAGGAGCTGGCTGAGTCGTTGCGATTTTGTTGGGACCCCCCCCCCCCCCCGAAAAAAGTCTCCTCTTACCCCCCCCCCCCGCTTATTCAGCGGCTGCCTGTTAACCCCCCCCCCCCCCCCTTGAAAAAAAATCCTGCGTACGCCACTGGTAGTCGTAGTAGTAGTAGTAGTAGTAGTAGTAGAAGTAGTAGTAGCATTCTCTTTAATTCAAACCTCATAACAGTTGCCTATTGTGTCTGATACCGCCGCCCCCATGATACCTGTGCCCCCCCCCCCCCCCATGGTTAAAGTTGATGTTTATTGATTTTAAAAACTAACTTAATTTCATTATTGCAAAGTTGAAACGTTGATTCGACAAGGTTATCAAAATTCAATGCTTGGAAACATTCGAAATAATGATTATTATAAATTATAAAACGCTTAAATACAGCCCCGTCATAGCACCTGAAGAGCTCCCCGAACGCTGCTGAGATGCGTGAGATCACAGTATGGACATGACTTGCACAAGCAGACGATGTCCCATGACATCTCACACATTTTCAGTGCCTGTGTTTTCATCTTTTCTTGAGTTCTTTCTCTTACTCCACTACCGTCAGGCTAAATGTATAATCTATTGCCTCACTCTTAACCCCGCACATGGTTTTATTTTGATGACAAATGCAGCGATACAAAAATAAAGGAATTTGTCGCTTGTAAACAAATAAGACGCCATTGAATATTCAGCTGGACACACCGCGGTATGTTCGGCGTTTCAAGAGGGAACAAATGCCGTCCTCAACATCGTTCCGGGGGTTTTCAATTCGAAAGTCTGGTTTCTTTGACTGTTAATTAACCCCTATCCTGTGTATTTACAAGCAAAAGATTTTAGTTATCGGAATCGGGTCATATCCCCTTTTGAATGGTTTGACATGCCATCACATTTATATACACTAAACTCATTATAATTTGACAAATAAAAGCTTTGCAATTATGTTCATTCTCTATGGGATGTCGTCTGCTTGGGCAGTATTGGTCCATATAGTGACGTCATTAAAACATCTTTATTTTTCCGGCGAATCTCTCGTATATCCCAGCTGCTATGCCGGTGGTTGTATTTGTATTTTTATAAATCACCCGATATGTAGTTGACCTAAAACTTGTACGATGGCCATCTGTTAGCTTACCAGTTTCTAGTCATACATTAGTTGACATATTTGTGATTTTCTTTGAAGTTCAACTTTAACACTCAGGCTACGCCAAAGATAGCAGTTACCTGACAAGTATCAATTCCACCTGGCTCAAATCCAGCACATATCATTTCTTCTGTCAGAGACCCGTTGTAGGAAACTTCAGAATTACACCAGTCTTGGTCAAGAAGGGTCACCACTACTTTTTTCAAGCTCTCTGTCAGCGCTGCGAAAGATTAAATTAAATCATCGTTTACATCTTCTGTAAGCAAACGAATTTCAAGTCAAATTTTTATCAAATGTTTGAAACCATTTAAAGAGTTATGGAAAGGTAAAGTGGTTTCAACACTGCTATTTAGCTTGATTTTTTTATTTTTTAACCAACCAATAAATACAGTATTTAATGACATTTGGGTGAATAGGGGTATTAACCCTAATTAGGCCGGGGGGGGGCATTATGGCCCCCCCCCCCTCCACGATTTTTCTGATTGCTCGGGAACGCATATGGATGGCGCCCCGCCACTCGCTGACTTTTTTTTTCGAGTCTTGCGCAACTTTTAAAAGATTTTTTTGAAAATCGGACCTACGGTTACAAGGTCACGTGACCTTTCATCTTTGCATGTCAGCCCGAAAATCGCTCATTTTCGTGATTTGTGTACAAAACATAAGGAAAAGTAATTTTTCCTAAAAACAGATCAAACATGGGTTATTGGGTCTTGTTTAAAGTTTAGGTGGTTGTTTTGGGAGTCAAAATAGGTGAATTGTAGTAAGGAATGAAATAAAACAACAAAAACAATGAAATACATAAGTTTAAAAAACAATGAAATTAAGAAATTATCAAAACAAGGGATGACATAAGGAATAAGCTTGCTCTTCCAATTTTTTTGTCGTATTGTTCTTCAGAATGTTCTAATGAATATATGTAGTGAAAAAGAATGCATAAATATGAATAATATATGATTTATGAGTAAAAAATATGATTTTTATGACTTTATTGGTATAAATTAATTTTAAATATGCAAATGAGTGTATTTTTCATAAAATTGAAATTATCATATTATTCTATACACTTCACTTGACATGCGTGCAAATTTTCGCGGCGATCGACCGCTTCGCGGCCGAGATTTTAAGGGGGGGGCATAATGCCCCCCCGGCCGTACTAAGACCTCAAATAGCCCGGCCTTTTTAGGGTTAAGTTAGGTGGATGAAATCATATTGGTTATGAATGTTGAGATCTACGTGAAGAAGAACTACTGAAGTGATTGTTCAAAGCTTCCCTGTTTGAAAGAGGCCTTTTGGATATCACATTCCTTTCAATCAGATAACCTAGAGAATTGATTGGCTAACCCCTATAGGAAAGGAGCAACCTATATCAGCAACTAAATAGTGAAGCACAGTAGTGTTGTTGATTCAATTTCAATTCAATACAATTTAATTGTGTCATTCATTGTAAGTAAAAAAAAATATATATATATATATTCACAAATGAATACATAAAGTACATCATGATTTAACCTGGGTAATGATATTAATAAATACCTGAGACTTAAAAAGAATGAAAATAAATGAATATTGGAAAATTTAAAGAAAAGTCCTAGGTCCTTGTATTAGGCTAGCCCTCCACGAGCATAATTTTCACAAGACTGGATAAATATGAAAGCAAAGAAGATCAAAATAATTAAACATATCAGAATCAAATTGCATACAGGAAACCAGTTTAACGCAAAAAACATACACATCATGTTTCAAAAGAGTGGCCGACAGTTTGAATCTCTTCCCGCTGCGAATATTCTTAGACGAAGTATTTCATTTTCAGTCGTCTCTCTTGACACAGGCGGAGTGATTGGGTATCGGTGTAATGGAGTATACTCTGACATGCACTGTAAGGTAATACCGGCACCCGTATAAAACTGAAGAAATCGTAGTGCATTTAAGGACACACACACGCACACACACTTCGTTTCATTTGAGAAATTCGCTTTACAAAATGGGAAATGTTCTTTCATTATCATTATTATTATCATTATCAAAGCCTCATCTGTTGCTGTCTTCAAAGTTTTGTTGAAGATGCACTTGTTTTCAGGATTAAAATGTTTATTCATTATTGTTTGTCTGTATAGTAGCACTGTTAGGAGTTTTGATTTTATTACAGAGCAGTAGAGTGGCTGCGATATGTAAATTAATCTAATTATTATTATCATCATCAAATATAAATTAAAACAATGCATACGTGAGCCTTCCAGTATAGTTGCCCATCCAGCGACGAGACAGCGACGATAGTCATTGAGTTCATCCGAGGATTCCGACAGACACGCGGGTCTGACGTAGTCACTAAATTTTACCGGTTCAGCAAGTCGTATCAGAGCGATGTCGTTGAGGAGGGAATAGGAGTGGAACTCGGGATGGACGAAAATATCAGCCACCTCAACTGCTACTTCGTTGTCGGAGTCATCCATCAAATGTGCGTTCCCAAAAACCACACGATCGACGTAGTAATCACTATAAATGATAGTGGATGTAAAATCAGTGATTTTTACAAGGGCGAAATATAATTATGTATATCAAAAGGACATCGCAATAGAGCTGCATTTATTTGAGTATGATATATATTATATATTAACTGTAGTTTCATATATGTACATCATGATTTCATTATAAATTACAAACGTTGTATCTGCTATATCACACAGGGGAATTAACTAGCTCCTAATACATCGGACGTTATACGGTCATGTAAATGTAAATCTCTAAATAAAGCATAATTCTATAACGACACTGAAGTGAAGTCCCGTCATCTGATAGTTATAGTCGGAGGGGATAGAGTAACGATAACGATGCCGTCCGTTCCTCCGTCCTTCCGTAACAAATCTGGTTTCCGATCGATAACTTTAGTAATGTCTAACAGAGGTTAATGAAATTTGATATGAAGGTACATGGTATCAAAACACAGCGTAAGTTAGATTTCGGAGTATGTAGTTCAAATGTCATATAGCTTATTAAAAATGCAAATCTGGTTTCCGTTCGACAACTTTAGTAATGTTCGACGGATTTTAATAAAATTTGATATAAAGGTACATGCATGAAAATACAGCCTAAGTTCGATTTCGGAGTATGTAGGTCAATGTTGAATGGTCATAGCTCATTAAATATGCGAAAATACCTAATTATTATGCGAAAATGTGGTTTACTTCCTTGCCTAGTAATATAATAGTATAGTCTAATGGAGGTAACTTGTTCTGACGTATTTGGTCATTTATACCCTGCGAGGGGATGCTACGCTTTGCGTTAACTTGTTCTCTTTATTTCATACATACATACAATTGCTTTTCATATAGCGCAAAGTTCAATAAAATATTGCTTGATGCCTTTTACACTGTTCAAAAGAACGGATATAGAATTTGGTGCATATATATATTGACTACTAGTGATACTTTATATGTATATACACTTTCATGACTATGACTATTTAGACGAAAACTCAGTACATAATTTGGTTAAATATTTACACGTAATCAAGAGGTAAACACGTTCGCTACTATAACAATTGGACTAAGTAAATATCCCTATGAAAGTAAGGTGTTAATTCGCTTTCCTTTCCACAGAGCAAACGAGTCTGATTAGTGGCATCATACTTACAGGCATTGAGCTGCGCTAAGAACCCATTGAGAGTTGATCAGGGTAGACCCACACCAACGTCCTTCAAATGTCAATCCGTCGATGCGGAGTGAACCAATCCAAGGGAATTCCCCTGGGCGTGCGTTGGTACCACCAAGAACCCTGTATTGATCTGGTGTGTATGCAGGGCGTGTACCGCATATGTTGGTATCGAAAAGATCTGGGGGAGGGATGAAGTAGCAAGTCAGTGGCACAACGACGGGAAGGGAAGGGACATCCACCCAATTTGAATAGCACCCCTTCGCCTCCCCCAGCAAATGAAACAAAACAAAGCATAAATCGAAAATAAAATGAAAAGAGGAGGGAAAAGGAGGCCCAAAGAAGATGACAGACAACCTTTAAATACTCTCCAATCCACCTACCATTTGGTTGCTGATTTTCATTTTTATCTAGAAACCCACTTGGCAGTAAGATCAGTGCCGCCATCCCCATCTCATTAGCTGTAAGCCACTGCCACATGTGATGAATTCAATAGAAAATGCCGACATCTTTTCTTCGGTTTTATGAACTATCATTTATAAACACTTAGGACATCTTGTTAAGTCCAAGCATATTCTTAACTCGATATCATCTACATGAATATGGCGGCATGGTATTTACCTCCCGCAGGACCAAAACAGCTTCCATCTTCCTCCTGTTCATCGGTAAACATCGAACAGTTGACGGGCCATGGACCGTCGAGGAGTTGCTCAAAGGATGCCTTGCAGGCATCAGTGACTGCCAAACAGTCGGAGTAGCACACCCGATGGGTGGGGCCGTTATGGGTGCATTCCGGATAGTAAACGGAGCACATGAAAGGGAACAGGTGATCATGGCACGATGATATAGTATCTGCCTATGGTAGGTCATTAGAAAGTATAAACTTTGAGGATTTCACGTCAGGATTTTCAAAGGCAATTGCAACGTAGATGTGTATGGTACATCAACAACGTCAGTGTAGCCAGCAGCTCTTGCAAGTGGTAGGGGGGACCACGTGCCGACAAATATAACATAAATTATGTATTTTCAGACAAACAATAAATATTACATCAAAAAAGATCTCCAACATATTTTCAGTCGTTACATCTCTGAAATATACACCCTTCTGTGTGATTATCTTTGCTATCATGCATATCCCCTCGAAAAAAATCACTTATACAAAAAAAAATATAATTATTGAATGCGTATTAACAAATACCAAATTCATTGGTTGATATACAGGTCAAATATCGTAGTCAGACAGTGTTCTACTAAAGTTAAAACTAATTAATTAATCGTTCCTGGCATTATCTATGAAAACCACCAATAATCTGGACAAACCCATCAATAATAATGAAAAACTCAACATTTCTTTATAAAGCAATTAAAAAGACATTCAGTTGCTTACCATGTCTGTAAAGCTTCCCGCTGCAGCGTCTGCTGTCTCTGCGTTCCGATTCGGGAAAAAGGTCAAATTGTAGGCCAGGTTCTGTCTACATATATCAAATTGAACTTGTTCGCAGTACGCTGGGTAGGAAAATATCGATCAATGACAACCTATATGACACATTCCCCGTGTCCACACACAACATTTTCCGTGATTAGGCGTGATTAGTTGCACCGTTTCGGGATAGTTATACTGTTTCGCGATAGTTATACTATGAAATTGTGTGTGTGGACGCTTACTAACCATACGTCGTATAACGAAACGTCGTATAACGAAACGATATCCAAACATGCGTTTCGTTATACGACGTATAACTAATCACGCCTAATCACGCCTAATCACACCTAATCACTGAATATGTTGTGTTGACGTAATTGATGTGTTTGGGGGAACTGCTTAACAAATACTCAGGGGAGAAAAAAAAACCTCTCTCTAAAGTAAAAATCCAGAAGTATAGAAACTCCCTCAATATATAGAGATAACATAGAAATGCATTAATAGGTGTGCAATACAATTGGAGGAAACTACATGTATAACCATATGAATTAATTAAAAAGCTAATGTAAACGTTAAATCAAAACTTACGACAGTATTCCTCATCTGAGAAATCGAGACAGTCGTTATTTCCGTCACACCTTGCCGATTCGTTGATACACATTCCACTAGAACATTGCACTTGACCGCTTCTGCATCCTGTCATGAAGTATTTAAAGCATCATATTATAGATAATCTCAATTCTAGTAAACAATCTGTTATCGTGTACTTTAACTGATAGATTTCGAATAGCAATATAAGGTCTGGGCTCCGTCTTATGAAGAGTTGATATCAATCGCAACTTAGATGCGATTGATATCAATCGCAAGGATGTACATAAGAGATAGGAGGCTGCAAACTTGCGATTGATGCGGATCAATCCCAACTCTTTATAAGACGGGGCCTTAATGGAATACTTTGAGTATAATTGAAATAATCACTCTGGACAAGAAATCAAATATTATGAGGCACGACCCTCACTTTTATACAACATGCAGTTTTCGCCAGATGTCTTAAGCATAACTGGCAAACAAATTATTGTAGGCCTACCTATCTTTAACAACCTCCGTCAGCGCAGTGTCTAGGTCAATGGTTCTTAACTTATTTATCAGGCGGGAAAGGAATATTTCTAAAATTACGTTTTTTTTAATATAGGCCTCTGTGGATAACACTACACCAACAACCAATCTAGTGTTAGTGGAATATTTTCCCTCCCTCTTCATAGGAAATTAAAGGATACTCTATAAATTGTCCTTACTTTCATTTTTGATAATGTATTTCATCAAAGCATTCTAGGTAAAATATCGTATGATTGACCTTTTGTGAGTGAGGGAAGTAAATTGTTGATGCGTTTAATAATCAGTGATATGGTATTACGTATCCACCTACAGCAGTGGAGAATTTTCTTTCTTTTTGACTATTTAAAATGATGATAAGCCGAATTAAATCGTCTTGCGTGCCCCGTGTGGCCCATGGGCTGCTAATAAGAAACATAACTAAAAAATAATAATAAGAATAATAGCTACATTTACATTGCACACACATTCATTCCAGAGGAAGCTCAAGGAGCCTACAAAGTAATATTATTACCCTGGCTTTAGCCCAGTTGCCCTAAGGCGTTAAAAGGATTCAAGGAATAAATTCCTACCGGGTTGCCGTTTACTATGTCTGGAAGGATATTAACAAAGATAGATTAATGTCTTGCCAAAGGACATTAGTGCCTCGGCGGGACTCGAAGCGAAACCATATGATCCACAGTCCGGTGACGTATCCACTAGACCACTAAACCTCTTAAGAAGCAGAACCTATGGCTAATATGATCTTACCAGGGTTTAGTATAGGTGTGACACGAAGACTGAATCCAATATCACCCATTGAGACATCCGTGGTGAACCTGACCCACATAGAGTGACCGGGTGTAGCGGGTTCACTGGAATTGCTATACCCAGTCAGTTTCTGAAGCTGCCAAGAACCAGGTTCATTGGGACCAGGCCCATAACCAATGTACAAGTAGTCGTATTTCGTCTCTAGGGCCAGGTCTAGAATATGTATCTGGAGGATGTGACTCTCTGGAGCCTTGAGTACCCAAGTAAGGTCGAGATTCGAGCCGTAGTAGGAGGATGGATAGCCGGGTGAAGATATGACGGTGGGTTCGTTCCATTCAATTTCTATCACAGTGATGCTGGTATCTGTGCAATGAATTCATAATAATAATAATAATAATAATAATAATAATAATAATAATAATAATAATAAAAATAATAATAATAATAATAATAATAATAATAATAGTAATATAAACAATAACGATGAAAATAATAAAATAATGATGAAATGGTAATAAGAGTGATTAAAAAAAAGTAATAATATCTTTAAACCAAAGAAGCCAAGGCATAAACGGTGTTCTTCCTTAGAGTCCTGCAATTATTCTTATCCCAGCAATTGCCAGAATCATGAAAGATTTTTCGAAAGAAAAGTAGAAGGTACCAGACTAAGAGGGAAAACAGTAAGTAACTAGAAGGGTAACGTTGCGACATGGTGTGCAATGACAATACGAGAGTATACCAAGATAGCAGAAAACAGAGATGTGTGGAAAAATGTTACAATCAGCCTCCAAGCTGAGAGAAGTGTCTTGATAGATATATAGAATTGACAGACACCCGTTTACACCTGGGCGGAGATTGGTAAATGTGGAGTAATGGGCTGGTGTTTGAACCCTCAATCCAAAAGAGTTAAGTGAAATAACCTCTACACAACGATACATCCACTGAAGACAAGACAGCCAGGAATTGAAAATGCCATTTCATGAACTATCTACTCTAGCCGCAGCGCACCCATACCATCTCTAGAAAATAAAGTGTAATGTACTTCAGAACTTGAACGAGTTTAATTAGATCACTTTAAACCCTACAAAAATATGAAACCGTTACAACATTTCCGAATTCATTGTAGCAGGTTCCTCCATTGTAGCAGCGGTTCTCGAACCGACATTCATTGTTATCTGGGAGCAGCAAGGAAGGAAAATTGATTTTCTTTGGACTGGATAAAAGCATAATTAAAGGTACTATGTTCCATTTGCAGGCCATAAAAATGAAAAGGTTAAATTCCAACAGCATTTGAAAGACAATACTAATTTAGAACTTCGCTAAAAAAAAGTGGGCTTGAAAATGTCTTTAAGTGGGAAAATAACGACTATAAGTTGTCAAATCGACTTAGGAGCTATAGAGCCAATAAGTAATAGTCTGATTTTTCAGACTATAGTACCGAATGGTTGTACGTTTTATGCTGCATAAAGATTCAATCGGTTTAATTTTGGCCATTACAAGAAGTGTGTTATTGATGTAGACAAATGCTCATGTACCCTTTACGGCTCATTTTATACCAAACATGAACAAAGCCAGTCAGTCACTCAATAGTGTCTGACAGTGAAGTCTAGCAAGTAAACGGGTTTCCTTGCACAATTTGAATATTAGGACACTGTTAACGTTTAAATTTCACAGCTAGGACATACATGACATATTCATAATTCCTGCAAAGTTCTACAGAATTTGATGTTGGCTGCAAAAGGGACATGGTATCTTTAAAGGGGAAGAGTACGGGGAGAGACATCTCCAAATGTTTTGAAGGAGGGCGACCACCACATTCACAGATCCAACACAAAATCATTGCTATCTGAGAACAATAAGGAACTCTAATCTATTTTGTATGGATTGGATAAAAGCATATCTAAAGAAAATGAAACGGAGAGAGACATCTCTAAAACGTATTTAAAGAGGGCGGACCTAATTCGCAGATTCAAGGAGCATGAAAAGTCCTCCCAGTTCCATGTTTACCTACAGATACGCAAAAGGTTTCTGTAGCTCTGTAACTTAAGTGAAACGCCTAATAATCTGTTTGCAATCCCGCTAATTAGGCAAAATTGTCTCATGCATAAATAACAGGAAACTAAGGAATGACTAAATTCAATCGAATTCCTGCCCCCCCCCCCCCATGAAAAAAAATGTAATAATATATGTATTGAAGCCCCACTGCACTACTTGTAGCTACTTGCTCCCTCTATATAGAAAACAATGTTTAATCGGTGACCATTGGTCCCCCATGATCCTCCTTTCTTATGTTAATTGAGAGCTTAGTTGATGAGACATCCACCTGTCAGTGACCAAGTGGGAGTTATAATCCCTCCTGTCCAAACTAGTGCAGATGGGATTTAAATGCTGTTTCATATCCTCATCCATGTACATAATAATCAGAAATTAAAAAGTCTACGGAAAAAAAGGACGGGGTATAAATAATATTTTCTTCCTGAATAACTTCCAATTGTTTTGTTTTACCTGAATGCTAAGAAAGTATGTGT